GTAGTGGACCACGAGGACCACCAATCGGAGGAAGCGGCAGTGGTCCACAAGGCCCACCAAGTGGTGGAAAAAGTAATGCACCAGGAGGGCCACCAATCGGAGGAAGTGGCAGTGGTCCACGAGGTCCACCAAGTGGTGGAAACGGTAGTGGACCAAGAGGGCCACCAATCGGAGGAAGCGGCAGTGGTCCACAAGGCCCACCAAGTGGCGGAAACGGTAGTGGACCACGAGGACCACCAATCGGAGGAAGCGGCAGTGGTCCACAAGGCCCACCAAGTGGTGGAAAAAGTAATGCACCAGGAGGGCCACCAATCGGAGGAAGTGGCAGTGGTCCACGAGGTCCACCAAAAGGTAGTCGTAAGAAACGTTCATACTTCTCGCATTAGACATCAAAATTTGACAATTCGCTGTAATTATTACAAGAGTTACCTCAAAAGAGTTTTTTGTAGTACATTATTACACTATTTCGAAATAAAACAAACAGAGCTTTCCATAAAGAAACGAAGTGTACCAGAAAGTAAAGTAGTGAAAATTTTTCATGCACAAAAGTTTCATACCCTTCGCTTACAATCAATGTATTTGTCAAAATGAAAGAAATACCTTTCAGGTAAAAAGACGACAATTTTTTGAAATACAAGCTTCCAAAGGAAAAGAATATCCACGCATGGTAGACGTTGGTTCAAGACAGTCATAACATCGATTTTCTCAAACAAGCATTTGACAACAACCGTCAGGCATAAAGTGATATTGTTATTAATTAGTCAAGTCAAGTTGACGTTCTCCAATTGCCATTTCTGTAAACATTAAGCTTGCTATGTGCCCGACGAGCCAAAAGAGTGTATACTAGAGATGTCATTTTCCTATTCATTTAAAATAAATGTGTAATGTTTTTTGCGTGTTTTATTTCAAAATAAATTAAAATTATTTGCACCTTGTAATTAAATAAATTATTAATTAAATTAAACTATTCCATTTCTTTACAATAGTTCAAATAGGATACCTATACACTTTTTAACAGGATATTTATCCATAACCTATGTGTTACATAATCTTTTTATTCAGCCAACAGGCAATGATCAACAAAAAGATTCTACTCTTCATTGAAATGAGTTTTTGAAAGAAAAATCAAATATGAAGCTATGTCATAGCAAGATAGTACATATTCCAAAAATTCATTTCTGAGTTTAAAGCATTTTGAATGTGTGTGAGTCACGTCTGTAAGCGCAGTCAAACTGTAGCACGTATTCACTTGAACGCCGATACATCACACCCACACTCATATTTAGATTTCTTGAGAGATGACGCATCGAATTACACTAAGCTTGATTTCAGTTATGACAAAAATCATTTCGATCTTTCGAATAATCGCGGACGCAAGATAGTATTGTATTAAGCACTGTGTAAGCAATGCATGAGATATATGAGAATTATTTTTTTTGTCAAAACTCACGCGTAGTTTAGTACAATTCGATGCACCGTCTCGCGAAGATTCTGAATATGATCTTAGGTTTTATTCCTGTGTTTGCTTTCGTGAAATGCATAAACTGTCAACAATTATTCACCAAAACTATGCGAAAAGAAAGCGTTTTAGAAGGAGTTTTGCTTTTTCCCAGCATAAAATATTCTAAGCCTATCTTGATCAAAACAAAACCCTGAAAAAGTTTCTATCAAAATGCTTAAAATTAAAATCTCTACAAACACTGAAAGTTCTATCAAAACTAAAATTCACTTTTGTACAACATTGTTGATATCATGGCAACCTTTTCCTCTTAAATATTAAAAAAGCGCGATATCTTACCTTCTCTGTTTGTATTTTGTCAGATCAAATGCGGGACAACTCGAGTCTAGTGAACGTTGTAGAGCAAATGAAGTCCAATAAAACTGTTTGAATGGCTATGTTCATGAAATCCATTTGTTCAAATGTTTTTTAACCCAAACATGCATACTGTTTTCAGTGAGTGTGTTGTGTGAATGAAATTATAATATACTCTAGCTATTTAGAGAACCACAATGTATTCTAAAGTTCACTGACACGTCCGTGCGGAGGCATTTCTCTGCGTGACATCATCGTACCGACACTTATGTGCAGTGTGGACACGGACTACAGATTAGATGTTTCCTTTACAGCCACTCCCATATCCTTATGCAAGGTGGTCCTAAGAATTCTTCACGAATAAAAATACTTATTTTTTTTTTAATTATATTTTCTAGATGTAAGATTGACATTTATGCAATATAATAAATTGAGTACTGTATACTCATTTTCAAATTAGAACTTATTTTATTAGATTAGAACTTCGAGTGAAAGAATTTAATTCTTAACCAGACTTCAAGAATTTACTCTGATTCGTAAAGTCAAAAACAAAAATTTACATTAATATATGATACACTTGTAGAATTATTTCTCTTCTAATACCATTCCATTGAAATTTCGTTTATTAGCTTTTACTCAACACTTTTTCCTTCGTGATAACGATGAAAACTAAAACTTGTGTAATGTAAACGATCATAAAAAGTAAAAATGAGTGTGTGGATACAGAGACATCCACACACGATTAACAATATGAACTTAAAAGCCTCATATAGAATGTCGGTGAAAAATAATCATATGTGCAGAGTTACTTTAACGAGTTTGCTTTGTCGTTGCATTCGTTTCAGTTCTCCATATAAGACAAAATTGCACCACCAAGTTGGAAGTTGATATCACAATGTTAATAAACACATTGAGATAAAGAAATCGCTTCTTTTGGTTTTACCTGTTGATCTGGTCTATCGCATTCTGGACAATCTCGATGAATTCACAATTCTATGTTCAGTTCGTAATGTGTGCACAACACTGAATGCAATCATTGACACATATCATCGATATCAGATAAATTTCACCTACATCGTAGAGTCGATTTTCTATAATCTTCAAGACATCGTTCAGTTCAACAAATGATTATTTTGATTATTTTATTGGTTAACTTTATAATAGTTGAAATTTGAGGGCAATACTTTGACTTTGATGAATACTACTGAAAAAACAATATTCAATTACATTATTCAATCCATTGTCAAGGATTTTATTGAGTTCACTATTTTTTCGCAATGCTTTACTACATATTAAACAAAGTTAGTTTATTTTTAAAACATGCCGAACATTTTCTTAGGTTATTTTGGGATTTCGCATCAAATAGTAAAAACTGTATAATAATATAAATGCACATATATAATGATTATGTTTCTATCTTGTTATTGTTAGTAAATTTTTTAGTTTTTCTCATAAAATGAAGTAAACTCATACTCGACAACAGTCCACAAAAATTGAAACGATTGTTAGGAAAAAAATATAAAATTAAAGATACTCGCTTCTTTCATAGAATCTTTCTGAAAGAAATGCTGGAAAGATGAGTTTCAATTTTATGACATAGATTATCAGATAAGAGATAATCGCTACTATATCTGTAGTCTTTTCAATTAATCGAAATAGGTAGAGAAGCAGGAGTAGGCTTACATTTTTTAGAATCTAAACATAAATTACATTGCAGGCTACCATCAATAACGGCAGCATGAGCCAAAATGTCTTCTTTTTTGCACTATTGTTGTATGTTGTCATGATGATCTGACTTTCATCATCCATTGACTCAGAGTTATCATCTGAATGTCGAAATGTACGCTTTTTTTCTATCATCCTTAATATCGAAAATGATATTAAACTGTTCTTTTTACTCATTGATATTGATTTCATTCTTTTTTTTCTGACCTATGCCTGTTTGACTGGGAGACATTTGCAAGGCTGGTGTTCAGTTTCTACTTCATGAATCATGACGTGATAAGATTTAACTGGATTGATTTGCATAAAATTTTCTAAAACGTGCAGATATTTTATTTTACATATGGTAGAGAATTCATATCTTTTAGCTTACACTCGAATGACATGTAATCGAGAAATTGTAAAATTAACGAATTTACGTATATTATGAACGGCAATGTTCACGAAATCTTTCTTTCTTTTCGTCAAATTTTGAGCGCGACGAAAAAGTACAAGAATATTATTTTTATACAATTCAAAAGTCCGTTCATGTGTCGTATTCTCTTGTAGTTATAGGCATACTTTTCTGTAAGAAGAATACAATATTGGACTGCTAAGATCGCATGCATCATGAATGAACATATAACGCTTTTTTGTCCTTGAACAATAACATTTATAACTTTCATTCTTACAACGAATTTCTTTAAAGAACTGGATACACAAAAAAAGTCAAAAAAAATTTTTCCAGGTCCATTTGATTGTGAAAAGTCGTTGCAAAGTTTCTTTGGAAAGAAAACCAAAAAGCTTTTCTTTCCTTTCCTCTTGAAGAGAACAAGTAAAATGAAGGTTCCACCTCTGTTCTCGATCTCTACCTTTTACACAGATACTGATCACACTCAACTATGCACTTAATCTAATCGAAGATAAAGAAGCACAACATCCTGCCAATAGTCTCACAAACAACATACAAGACACTATTTACTACTCATCTTCGTCTTGTTAATCACCACTTTTTACATGAATACTCACAACACTCAATCTCACATACAATCAAATTGGAGACAAAGGAGCAGATCATCTCGCCAACGCGCTAATCAACAATATGGTCATATACTATTTATTACACATCATCGTCATGTTAATCCCCATTTTTCACACAGACTCTCACAATACTCAATCTCGCAAATAATCAAATCGAAGACAAGGGAACGCAGCGTCTTGCCAAGGCTCTCGCAAACCACTGGGCTATATACTATTTACTATTCATCTTAGCATTTTAAATCTCTTTTTTCACATAGACACTCACGATACTAGATCTTAATAATGATTGGATTGGAGATTTAGGGATACAACATCTTGCCTATGCTTTCACAAACGACATGGTAATACATCATCTGTTAGCTATCTTCACCGCCGCAATCTCCACTTTTGATATAGACACTGACTACATTGTATCTTAATTATAATCGAATCTGTAATTCAGGGACAGAATATCTTGCAAATGCTTTCATAAACAACACGGTAATAAACCATTCTTTACTCATTACTCTCTTCACCATTTCTACTAATCACACAAACACTAATCACACTAAAGTTTATTCTGAGTCATGTAGCAGAACAAAGACGAAACTGAGTGATGGAAGTTTCAAATAAAAATCAAAGACTGAAAACGTCTTAGTGATTGCTTAAGTTTTCACTTTGAGACTGTTGTATTCACATAGTTTGCATGAAGATATATTTATGTGGATGTGTCTTGTTTTGAATAGAGAAATTTGCTGGACCTTGTACTCTTGATAAGTGGTTGTGGGTGTAAGTTGTAGGTGTGAATATTGGTGTAGATGTATGAGTGTGTCTTGTTTTTTACTGACATCA